CCACTAAAGGTGAGTGAGTACACATAGTTTGACTAAACAAAAGAAAATCAACCTGAAAGAGTACAAGTACGTAATAAGAAACACTAGAAATACAAGAATCACTTCTAACTCACCTTCCGCGATAACGTCACCACCCACCAAATAAGCAGCGGGAGGGAATGAACGGGCAGGTACGTTGGACGCAACTGCACAGTCTGTGAACAGAACTGTGGTGATCAGGTGCATCTTCTCGCTGATATTAGCAGTTCCGCGTGATGAATACACCGAAAGTAGTAAATCTGTCATGCTGAGTGGTCGGCCTTCCTTCTTCCAAACGCCTCGAAGTACTGCGCACCGTCTCCGCTGCACTCCGAATTAGTGCGACTGGATCTAAAAACCATTTCATCTACATCGACGTTATGCTACCTTCCATTCTCCTTTTTTGGCCCTTTCACTTCCACTCGAGGCTGTGGCTACCACTGGCACCGTTTCCACGGTCGCTGGCGACTGGGATCTTGAGCAAGGAGCAGACGAGAACAATCCTCCGGGAGTTACATTAGAAACAGATGAAGCCGAGGACCTGCAAACCGAAACTCTGTGTCGATGATTAGGTAACCGCAGAGCTGCCAAATGGAACCCACCCAAGATCTACACCCTCCAAGTAGCTGAGGGCATCGCTATACTTCCAATCCCTCCTCGCTTCCGATCCAGTCCCGGGAGCCATCCTTCTTTTCCTTTTCTTTTCCACACAGTATTTCCACATGGTCTTGAATTCGGAAACTATAAACGCAGTTGATCAATTTCCATTGATGCATAAACGCGACTAATGGAGGTAGTCACAAAATCGCACTGACTGACCACTGCGCCTATGCCCCTGTTCCTCCATGCTTTCCCGAATCCTTTCCCAGGCTTCGCGCACCTTCTCGTGGACTTTGTAGTCCTCACATCGCGGATCCCATATGGCTGGTTCCATTTCCATGGACTCTATGAGCAGCAATCGAATGTCTCCACGCGACGACATGCTGCGATAAGCAAGCTTTAAGTAGACATCAAATCCCCTCAGAAACGCATATCTGGACCTTAGCCCAAGAAAAAAAAAAGAAAACGGAAAAAATCAACATCAAAAAAGCAATCAAATCAACAAGACGCCAACATCAAAAAACAAGAACGTATTCAAAAATGAATTAAAACATGGTAACAGGAAAGGTGCTCACATATTGGGGGGGCACACAACTCGATTACTGTCGAATTAGCCCACAGATTTCCGAGGACGAAACTAGCAGACAAGTAAGGATAGGACAAAGAGATCTGTATGAACGTGTTTACACCGCGTACAGATGGTTCTGTCATATTTGAAGCGCGGAACAGAAGTTTTGCCTTCAAAAGGAATAGAAGCCCAGAGTGGCGTTATATACCCTACACACGAAATTACTTCACCGGAGAGCAGATGTCTTTGCGCGTTGCCAGCCGCGCAGTCTCCCCAAACATGTTCGCATCAAAGGAAAAATCACAATAAAGATGCTCACCTGGAATGAAGATGTACGGCACCACACAAATCAAAATACAATCCAATACGACCTGGAAAGAAAAATCCATAATGAGGCTGAAAAAATAACAACATGAACCCTACCTGAGCGTTCCACAGAATCCGATGACTTCGCCACAAGACAGGTTGGAAAACCGCTAGCCTACAAAGGGTAATGAAAAGTACTTAACAAAAACTACTTCTGCTTCTGCTACTCCACGGCACAAAGTAAATGTCAACTAAAGGAAAAATAGGAATGGAAGGAATAGCTGTCTTATAAACAAGCAACAGCTTAGTGCGCAGAAAGTAGACGCAATGGCCTCACTGGTCTTGCCTGACCCGACACGCCCATCGATACTCGAGGTCTTCGCACCTCGCCGAGGGCTAGCCCTTGCGAAATACTGTCGATGACCCGAGGTCTTCGCGCATCGCTGAGGCGCTAGCCCTTGCGAAATACTATCGATGACCCGAGTTCTTCGATAGTATTTCGCAAATCGATTCCATCCAAATCAGAAAAACATGAATGAGAACAAAATGTTTCTCATCGAATCATTTCAGAGAACTCGGATAATCACGAGTTCTCAAAAAAATACGAAGTAAGAGAAATTAACCTAAGTCGAACCATAAATCAAGAGTTACCTTGATGAAGTTCCATGTTGAAAAAAACGAGCATCCACATTCACACTCATTCAAACACTCTGATGAGGGGGAGGAAGGGAACAGGGATGCTGTCGTGCCAATGCAAAGTTGAATAGGGTCAGAATCCATCAGGTTCTGCCACTAATCAACCCCCTCCGGCAGAGAACAGCGAAAAAATGAGGGAAAGGGGCAAGGAGGGGGAAACTGAAAAAGGGCCATACAAAAGGATATGGAAGAGAAAATAGGACATCAAAAAATTACAGCAACAAAAGAAAAAAGAAAAACTTACCCTTACAGCGATCGCCGTCAAAACAGGTGCTGACTAAAAATACGGAACCAAGAGCAATTCTCTAGAAATAAGAGAAATACCAAAACCGAAAAAAAGCAAAACTTACTTGATGATTCTTCATGGTTGAGGAAAGAGAATTACGAACATGCAAAAAATTACAGCAACAAAAGAAAAAAGAAAAACTTACCCTTACAGCGATCGCCGTCAAAACAGGTGCTGACTAAAAATACGGAACCAAGAGCAATTCTCTAGAAATAAGAGAAATACCAAAACCGAAAAAAAGCAAAACTTACTCGATGATTCTTCATGTTGAGGAAAACGAGCGTCCACGACATTGTAGAATCCGAATCTGAAAAAAAAAGTTGAGAGGGAATACAAAGAAACACAAATCAAAGCTATTTCGAACATTCCTTAGAATTAAGAAGCCGTTATGAACGCAAAGGAAGGCAGAAGGAAAAGAAAAAACACAGGAACAATAAACATGAGCAAACATGACCCCTCCCTCCCGGTGTGAATTTCACCCACAGTAGCGCGATCGGATCGCGCGATCCAAGCGATCCGATCGCGCGATCGCGAAGTCTGAACGCGCTCTAAGAGTAACGATGGAAGACTTCTAGGTTCTGTGGGGCATCACAGGCACTAAAATTATCGTCTTGCACGAAGGAACTCCTCCGAAGTTCCCTCCTACCATAGGATTCCTTAACGAACGACAAAGTAACCTGTTAGAACAGGATTTCTTAAAATGACACAGTGAGCTGTACCACTCAGCTCACTCCAATAGTTACAGTAATTATCGCGTGGGAATCTCCCACGTCTAAAGGAGCCAAAATCTCAGTTCGAAATCTGTGGCTACAGTTGTCTGCCACTGGGCTCACGTTGCGACGCCATGGACCGTGCACTCTTCTGAAAAGATCTTCAAATAATGACCTTGCTTTTTATACATTGCCACATTATAATTCTTTGGAACTTGAGAGCGCGGCCCTCTAAAACTTTGTGAACGGTTAAATCACCATGTTTTTGCCACTCCTCGTCGACAGCTTGCCTGAAGCGACCTGCTACCAGCTATTTGATGATGAAATCTCGTCCTAATGTAAGGCGATATGCAGAAATGCGACTTGCATATAGCATTTGCTGTCGTATAGCATTGAAAACATTTTTAGCACTAGTTGTCCTTAGCTTCTTTGCCCTTTTATCTCTTCCAATTGAAAAAATCGGGTGTTCGGTCATCTTCGTCTCCGCTTTTCGTGGCAGTAGAATCTTGATTCTCTGCGAGAATCCTTCTTTGCTGTATGGTTTCCTCTGCCAGGTCTCGTAGCATATCTATTCCTTTCCTCCATTCGTATACATCCTTCGGACCGGCTACTAATATCAGCTCCGCTCCACGGGCAACAGTTTTAAGCAACATTCCCCATGCTTTCGCCCATGTGGCAACTCCCGCATGGTAAGATGGACTGAAAAGTATTACTGCAGACCATTCGCCTGCCAGCCAAGTGGCCTGAATATCCTTAGGATTTTGTTGGAGTACGCAATTTGGGTTTCTCCGGAAACGTGCTGGTAGTATTATTAGGGTTTTCAACTTGGGCAAGTGCCTCCATAGCCCATTGTGTCATGGGTGATTATAGGAGAACTTTTGCGCTTCTGCGACCATCTCTGCTAGGTTAAACGGATCTTCCGTATGTCGTGGAGGGTGGGGTAGATTCCCAAGTGCTTCGTCTGTGGCGAGATTGCGACGATGGTACGCAGCGAGATTAAGGCAAATAGCTCGGAAAAATGACATTGCAAATCCTAGTGAACTAGCTGACAATGTAAGGTAATCGTGGTCAGCAAGTGTTGCAGCTCGCCACTCGGCGAAAATGTGAGTTTGTAGTATAGAAACAGTCCTAGCCAGCTCAAGCGATGAATCGAAGACCAACTCTGGTAATGGTGGGTTCTCTACAATTCGAAACCATTACACTGCGGTATGACACGCGGTTGACTGCATGCCGACATCGAATACTCCTGGACAACGACAGTCAATAGTAGATATATCGGTGCGAACCGGACGTCGAGAGCTGAAACTAACAATTAAAGCAGCATGAACAATAGAAAGAAAAAAAGAAAGAAAACTGTAAACTTCTGCTACATACGGTGATACATCGTCAAAAGTTGCTGCCATCTTTCCTTTTCTTCCTCGTTTAGCGCTCTACGCTTTCTGCTTATTACAGGAGTATCGTCTATCGACGATGGCACCTTGATCAGATGGTCGAATGGGACTTGTATGGGTTCTTTGTTAACCCCAATTTTCAGTTACAGTCTGAATTGGGTGTTGATGCAATTACCCTGTTGGACCACTCCAGGAAACAGTTGGGATGTGCTGATGCTTCTTTTTCTCCGGGTACTTTAACATAGATACGATCTCCTACGTTGAAAGCAATCGTTCTGTCGGTTTTCCAGTGGCGATCGTACCACTCTTTTGCCTTTAGCTCTCTACTTCTCACTTTGGTCAATAATGCACTCGCTTGCAAGCTTCAATCCACTTAAAAACTCTGTTTTGTATTGGTCATAGTCCACCATATACGCCGACAGCTGATCCCTTGGAATGACTTCTGATGGAATACGGGGATCGTGGCCATAAACCAAAAATGAGGGCTTTCGCCCGTTGCGGAATGTGGTGATGCGTTGTATGCATAAACACTGTAGGCAAGATCTTGTCCCATTCTGTAGGTACCTGTTTTATTCCGCAGCATGGAGATTATTGTGCCATTCACATGCTCAGTTACTCCGCTTTCACGAGGGCAATACCCGTAGGTAAGTGCTTTATGCCCATGATCTCGTATAGAGCAGACCTAAATACTTCGTGAAGTGATCAATAATTGTCACTATATAACGATTGCCTCGACTTGTGACTCCTATCTCCAGTAAATCAACTCCCACTATTTCAAATGGCTTTGTGGTCACTATAGCTTTATTGGAGGCACTTGGCCTGTAGCATTGTTTGAGATGAAGCACCGCTGGCATTCACGGGTCTACTTTACGATGTCCTGCCTCATTCCGGGCCAAAAGACATGTTTGCTCAGCTGTTGGAATACCTTCCGCGCACCAAAATGACCTGCCATGGTTCCATGATGTGCTTCCGTGAACAAATCATGACTTCTGGAGTTGGGTACAACATCCCTCAAACGTTCATCAGGTCCGATAGGCTTTAGTCTTCCATCAGCAATGACAAAATCAGCCGAGCATAACGTCTTATCGTACCTTGGAAATCGTATTTCTACTTGGCGTTCGCCTCCACAGTCTATGACCATGTTAAAGTCCTTATCACAGCGAAGCTTAAAGCCACTCTGATTCAGTTATTTTCGAAACAACTCTTTCCGTCCTCTGTATGGGTAGGGCATGTTACGGATGTTTTAACGATGCCCCGCGATAATGCGTCTGCATTAGCTGCTAGTTTGATGTATTCATTTACCACATCATACTTTGAATCTCAAGCGCCCAGCGTAGTGCCTGGCGAAGCCGGGCTGTGACAGAAGGAGCACCGGGCGGTAGCCGGATGATCTGACTGGCTTAACATAAGCCACTTGTCATGGCTCTCCAACATGGAGATACAGCGTTCAAAGACGAAGCAGAAAAGCAATAGTAGGGTCCCACTTATGTTGTCACCGATCTGTTCCTGCACGTACGAACCTAACCCTACCCGCAAGTCACGCACGACCCCGCGTTGTGTATTCCGCTACGTGCGCTTGATTCTGCTGCTCAGTTAAGTCTTCATTTCGGCGTGCCATAATCCTCCTAATGTGGTCCTCTTCGTCTACATTCAGCAAGTGAGCGTTTTTCGTACTCGACTTAAATGGAGCTCAAAATTGGTACTGAGCCGTTGTGTTGGACAATAATGTGCACGTGTGCCCATTTGAGTCGTCAAAATCGTCCAGTAGTTCTGAAATGAGCACAGTAATGGGCCGGCCTAACATTTCCGTCTGAAGGCGGTCGACATTTACAACTCACGAATCGCAAAGTATAGATGGAAGACCTCAAGAAGCACTCACTACGCTTCTCCAAAGTTTCTCCAAATGAGGACGAGGAAGGAGTATATCATCTCCTAAATTATGTAGTGTATGAGACATTTTGGAGAACTTCGCTGAGAAAAATGCTACTCTTATCTTTCGCACTGGACCGAACCTGAATGGGCATGAAAAAATGAAGCACTTGGCGTTGATCGAACCCTCTTTGGGATGACCCACGCATTTAGACCGGTTTCGATTCAAGTTCGAAACAGAGCTTGCTCGCAACAAATCCCCGGGGTGTCCGTTTTCTGATGCATTGTGGTTCTCTACCATGATAGTCAAGCTTATAAGTTTTATTTTAATCCCTTAGACAAGTTTGTTTCCCATAACTAAGCCCGGAAGAAGGTTCGCGTCGCCTAAACGAGAGTCGATCCAATTTTCTACAGTGCGGAACAAAATTTGGGGGGGGGACACACCGAGTTTTGACTCTACAAGAACACTTTTGATTTTGGCGAGATAGGAACTTCACTGCTCAATTCCTCGGACACGGGAACCATAGTATACATACTTCACTTCGCCCGTCTTGTGGGCGTCTTCACATTTTTTTTGTTACTGGAAAAGGTTTCTCTGTACCAAAAGCATGTGGACACTTACGGAAAAGCAAAGATATTTTGAGATGAAAGTCTGGTAGCTCCTATGTGATTTTGTGCTAGTTTGATCACTTTATCCGGCACGCTCCTGGACGAAGTTTTCCATAGTTGTCTCGTGTATGGTATCGCAAGCAGCCAATGTTGTAGCCTTGAGATGAAGCCGCATGGCACTGCCGGCGGTTATGAAAGACACGCTGCGTGATCTTTCGCCGTTTTTAGAAGTACAGCAAACAGTAGAACTATCCAGACTCCCTATTTGTCTAGAATAATAGAAGAATAGCTTGAGTATTAGGTTGTCCGGAAAGTTCTCAGCGTTTTGGGTGTTTCACTTTAAACGATCGTAACTTTTTTAATACTCATCGGATTTAATCGAAATAGGCACCATTCGAATCAGCACACTTTTGCCAATGTGACAGCAGTCGAGAAATCCCATCAAAGTAAAAAACTGGGTGGTCGAAAATTCACGAAATCCACGAAGGCTTTTTGCCTGGTCCTGATTGATGAAGTATTTTCCAGCAAGGGAGTTCTGAAAATGTTAGAAAAGGTGATAGTCGATTGGCGAAAGGTCTGAAGAATATGGCGGTTGAGGTAGAACTTCAACCCCCAATTCGTTCAATTTATGGATAGTGATTTGTGAAACGTGTGGGCGGGCGTTGTCATGCAAAGGAATCGGACCCTTTCTTTTGATAAGTGTTGGCTGCATCTGACAAAATTTTCGGTACAATTCGTCGATTTCTTCACAGTAGGGTTCTGCTGTGATGGTTTGGCCTGGTGATAAAAAGTTATAGTGGATCACACCAGCCGATGACCACCAAGCCGTGACCAGAATCTTTTTTCGTGAGGGTTCGGCTTTGAAAATTACCTCGGTGGTTCGTCGAAATCCAACCACTGTCCGGAACGTCTCCTGTTATCATACATGACCCATTTTTCATCACAGGTGACAATTCGGCCCAAAAACAGGTCGTTTCTGCTGCGCAAAAGCAAAAAAAATCGTCCGAAGTGCTCTTTTCACATGCTTGAAAAAAATCTTGAAAAAATAGGGGCGCAGATAGCGCAAGAAATTCTCTACAGGATGTGCTACTGAGAAGCAAGGCAGAATGAGTTTTTAATCAGCAGTGAATGTACAAAAAATAGGTGCACAAAACGCTGAGAACTTTCCGGACAACCTAATATTCAGACAGATAAGTCTCCATGTTTGTCGAGAAAACGCTTTGGAAAGGTTTGCTGGCTCCATAAATGAGCGTTTTAGGCGCTCTCCGGTCAAAGGATGCTTCACAACCTAACATTAGGAGTGCTCCCAGATTGAATGTTCAGGACGAGATGGCAACAGGGTTTGTCCCTGAAAATACTATAACATCATCACATAAGGAGGAGTCTGAGGAGAAATTGACAAGTTGAAAAGGAACAACATCTCATGAACATTTTTTAGTTACCTAATCTTTCTGGGCGAAAAAAGTTCAGTAATGACGTCTGTAGTTTCATGACCTCAAGGCGGCAGCGTTTGCTGTTGATACATCCCTGCTACACGAGACAATGAGAAACTTTCCTCAGGAGTATGCGGATAAGATGAGCAAAATTAGCACGAAAATCATATAGGAGCCAACACACCCTTACCTCAAGAATTTCATTTTTTCTCAAGTGTCCACATATACTCGAAATCCCTGAGATCGGGTTGGCGTGGCTGCATGATTCAACTTAACCTGAAGGAGTCTATGCTTCTGGTGAGATATTTTCATCTTGACACAATTGTTGTCGTGTCTCTGTCCAACACAGAACAAGATGACAGTTGTCCCAGACTGGAATATTCCACGAGTAACCAGTTCCGTGCCATGTTCAAATGCCACGCCTAGTCTGTCTCAGGGTAAGGAGTGTACTTTTGGCACTGAGAAACTTTTTCCAGTAATAAAAAAATGTGAAGTCGCTCACAGGATGCTGCGAAGTAAAGTATCCCAAGGTTTCTTACCCGAGAAATCGAATAGGGAAGGTCTCATTTCACCAAAATCACAGGTGTTTTAGTAGAGTCAAAATTCGGGTTGTCCACATACTTTTGTTGAGCACTGCATTAGGCTGTGGGTAACCGGCCACCACTTGCCTGTAGTCAGGGCACCTCATGCCGCTAGAGAAAAATCTTTGGAAAATACACCTCAGCTTACCCATCCTAACCAACTTCCCAACTTTTCCACCTTCTACCACATTTTCCGGATATTTCTGAAGAATTTTTCAATTTTCCCCCAAAATTTTCCCGTCGTGACCGGAAGGACCTCAGCCCTTCCTCCATTGACCAAGCACGACCCCCGCTAGATCCAATGTACGCCATGGTCCGACAGCAATGCCTCTACCCATGAGGCGAAAGGTTCAGAGGTTGCCAGTGATTTATTTTTTGTGATACCTTCAGGAACTAATTCCGTCGTGATTGTGACGTCTCTTGATCCTGAGAGATAATCGGATAAAGGATGGTCCTGGCATTTCAAGTAGCTAGCTATGCTGAAATAAAGGGAGGTAAACTATTAGTCGGCGAGATGATTCAGAAGTCCTTTGAACGTCGTTGTGGTCGTCGTCGTCCTTTGAGGAGCCACTTGACTGATTGCGCCAAACTCAATTTGCCGGCCCGCCGACTGGCCAATAACTCGTGAGGCTAAGGTGAGGCTCATCCTCTGCAAAAGCTCGTCCGTCATGCCTTCCACTTGTTCACTTCATTGTATGGTCTTCCTGCTCACCATTGCGACGCTCATTCACCTTTCTTCTCAATATCCTTCAAAAGTGATTATTAGTGAGTTTCATTTTCATCTAGATTTCATGAGTAGAACTAGCAATCAGATGTTCTCTGAGAAGCTCTTGAAACTGGACTATGGACTTGAGTAAATAGGGTACTTTCCTGCCGTGATGCGATCCAATTTCGATTCCATCAAATTCATTTCCAGAATCGTTTACGACATCCTCTGACGAAGCGAATGTGGCAGTGCGTGCGCTGCAATTTGCTGCTGATGAGATCAATGCCGGCAATGAGGTTCCGTTCAGGTCCGTTTCACCCTTCTTTCCGGGCAATTTCACACTTGATGATGTCATCTCGAGTTTGCTTTTTCAATTGTGAAAAAATGAAAAATCTTGTAAGAAAACTGAATAAACACCTAGTGCGTGATGGATTTCAGACTCTCCTACGATCACTACGATGTGGATCCAGGATCTTCGGAGGGGTGGAACGTTGTGAATACAGGTGAGCACTCAAAGGATCAGTTTATATAGGCCTCACCTTCTTCTGCAGACATTAACTACCTTTATTTTCCTTACAATTCATTCACTGATTAGAGTGGGCCATTTCGTGAGTCTCGATATATTTTTTGAATGAACTGTTTATTTTCATACTCAATTTGCTAAGTTCGTTCATATCAACTTCACTAGAAATAGGGCTGGGGCAAGTTGGCGTGGAAGAATGGCTGAGGGGTTAAGCTCGACAGACCCCTGATATGAGACCCTTTTGGTAGGACAAAGCAATGGTTGTGCGACGGCTGGGTCTAAGAAGCCAACGAAGGACTTCAATCTTTCGGTCACTGTATCGAGGCCAACTAGGGATCACCATGCATTCTTACTTCACAAATCCGTAGTAAGGCATTTTGTAATGGGACGCCCGCATCGCGATCTCGTCCTCGCATGTGAATTGGAACACGCAATTCACATGGGAGGACGAAAGTACCGTGCCATTTTTTGTCCGCTAAGAATGCAGCCAGGAACAGGACTGGACGGGTAGCACCCAGCTTTAAGTGCCGCTCGCCACCCTCTCCTGCGCTACGCGCAGGCCACACCACGCTTACCATAACCACTACTTCTCTGCGTCCTCCGTCTTGTTGTTCTTTGCCTCTAACTGCATGTTCTTTGCGGGATTCCGGTATCGACGCAAGGGTAACACGTTGAGGATAGCGGAGGCTAGAACAGCACCGAGTGTCACTACTGTTTCCCCTCATTCTCCATACCATAGCGCTATCAAGTGAACTAACAACGTACCTTTTGTACGCTACCTTTTTTAATCCCTTTCTTCTTTCTTGCTTATGACAGGGACCATTCTCGGAAGGTGTGAGCATAGTGTTCCTCTGAACCCAAAGCAGTCACCAGTGACGGAAAATGAACTCCTTCATTCACTTCTGAAAAGTCGACTTTGGCAACACCTGGCCGCTGCTGCGGATGAAGACGAAAACAGGAATCGTTCGTGAATGCAGTGCCCACAATGCTTTATGAATTCTCCCGTTAAACGAATTTGCAATAACCTCGTTTTAATAACCTTTAAAGCTGCTTTCTTGAACAGCAGAACATAAAATGTGAGCTTTCGGTGTTGGAAATTACGATCAAAGAACTGAGACTCCGTGAGCCTGCACGCATGAAGTGGAGTGTGTAATGGTCGTACAACATGACCGTCTTCTTCTTGTTCGACTATGCATGCGTGGCGAAAGAAACGAAGCAAAGTAACGATGCCACTGTTGAGTGGGGAGCTTCCTTCGTTACTTGCCTATAGAGAATAGTTCAGCTGGCTTCTATATCGGATTTGAATACTCTTCGAGGTCTCAAGTTGCATACAGCGGCATTACTAACCGGTTTTCCTGACTGCGACACTTCTGCGCCCAGCAGTCATGGCTTGACGCGAGCTATGGATGGTGACCCCCTCGTCAACCATTGTCGGCTGCTATCACTTCGTGCCACCCACCCATAATGTTCAGATCCAGCCCGTTATACCAGCTCTTGGAACCAATCCCACTTGTACCCGCGATCCATTTGTGACCTCTTCGTCATCTTTGATGTGAGGAAGTGATAACAGGCGCCATGTCCAGCTGTTTTATCACTGTCCTCACATCAAAGATGGTTCATCCTCCGCTCGTAATATCACTCATCACCATTTGAACTTTCTGCGACTGTTTTAAAAAGGAAGTTATGAATCCCCGTGAAGACAACAAACCAAAGAAACACAAACCATACAGACAAATTTAACGAATTAGTATATGTAGATGATCTGGATAATGATAGACAAGATGTTGACATGTTGAGCGCAATTGACCTTACGTTCCTGAAATTTAATTCAATTCAGTGAAGAGGCAGACCAATGTAACGAGCAACAATCTTGCAGTTTGTCGAGAGTTGAAGGAAGGCGGAATGACGCTGATCAGCATCGATAGTGGACGTGGGAACGAGGCAATGCGAGGTCTAGCCGACACCCTTGAAATGCCACTGATCTCGCTCACTGCACCACTCTATCCGCAAGACCCTCCCAACTTGTGAGTAATGTTCCTGGAACCTTGACAGTTTGAGGGAATGGGTCTGTCTCTATTAACACTTTCTTTGAATAGGAACCCTACTGCAAGTGATTTCAGCTTCGAAGTGTCAGTGCGACCATCTCCAGCAGAACTTCTAGCTGATTTCGTCATTCACGAAGGAATGCGAGAGCTCATCTAGACTCGACGGATGGCAGAACATTGCTATGTTTACGGTGTTTTTCTTTTCTTTCGGCTCATGCGTACTCACGAAATCCATAAGATGTGGTAGGCGTAACTACGTACTCATTTCAACATAGTGGCCTCTGCGCTCCTAATTGGATATTTCATTTTGTGACATCTGCAATCAAGTCTTTGTCCAAAAGCCAAGATGACAGTTGCCCCAAGACGAAAACGAACAGCCCGCCATGATCGGATGAAATGCGCAGCCACGCCCACCGCGTCCCAGGGATTTGGTATATAACAATTTCTCAGAGCTATCTGCAAATGTTATAGACAGGCTTGTGGTTCACACAAGCGTGTCTACAACATGTGATGTGAGGAGTAGATGGCCGGGGGAAAAAGGTTAATCTGAAGACGAGTGGTTGGACTAAACTCAAACGCCGAAAGCAAAAACAAGCATGGTTTTGAATTAAGAAAACTCAAGGAATCATACATTTCTTACTCCCGGCGGGCCGACTTTTCTATCAAGAGTTTTGAGTGAAACCCATTAAAGTTTTACTGACACAATATCAAATGTCAGCTGGAAGTGCCCCTCATAAGTAGTTAGTGCACAAGTTCAAATGTTACTGAGCACGGTGGAGAGCTGCCTAAAAAATCAGGTCACGAATATACGACTGACGCTGCTGAGCATAGCGCGACGTTCCTTGCCACGTCGCCGCAGTGCGGGTCTCCTAACCACTATTCGCGACAACTCGTAATTCCCTTGGTGTAAATCCCGTTGGAAAGAAATGACGGTTTCCTCAGAAAGGGTTCCTGCGAACCTAGCCACTCATCCGTGAAAAACTTACCATAAGAGGAGTCCAGTAAAGTAGTGAGCTGGTTCGAGCAGTCAGCCCACAGAGTTGTAGCCTCTAGGAGAGAGAGTGATAAATAAGAGAGTACCAACCAATCATCTGCACTGTGTCATTGCGACGCTATTTCGGCGAAGTTGAGTAGGAGTACGCAGACAATCCCCGCTTTGTGTAATGAAAACATCGAAATGGACCGAGAAGTACTGAGCGAGTCTTGCTCAACGAAGTTCCATTTTTAGCCGGTGTGTCACTGCCCTGGTTATGGCATCATCTGCATCGCAAGTCGAACACATCAACGAGAGCTCAATTGT